GCGATCACCCAAGCAGTTGCTCGCCTGCCGGTATCTCGCTCCCGGCCGCCTTTCGCTTTTCTTGGTCCTCCATATGATCAAGCAGTAATTCAACAATTTCCGCATACCCTCTCTCCATTGCAAAGTCCAAAGCTGTCATGCCATATTCGCCCGACTCATGAGGATTAGCGTCATGGTTTAAAGTAACTGTGTGCATTCGATATTGTTGCATAAAACGGCTGTGATGAGGGGTGTATCGTCGAAATCGTTCTTATGATTAATAAAGTTTGAACAAGGCCCCCGTAGTTCAGGACAATCCTCTAGGAGAAGCCTTAGGAGCCTACCACCCTCTGTCGAGGTATTTCCCGCCAGGAGATGGAATGTTGTATTTCCTAACTGATCACATCGGAACGGATTGATACCAGTACGTAACAAAAGTTTTACAACATCTTCCTTGTTGTCTTGGAATCGTTCCTGAGGTGTACGGAGGATGAAATGAAGAATCGTGTCGCCACCGCCTTGGATAAGTGGAACATTAAAATCAACGTTACTATTAAATAACAATAAATGTAACATTTCTAGGCCGCAAAGGCACGCATCGTACAGAACCCAGGTATATGGCCTCGTCAATGTGATATTGAAGTCGAGTAACAAGCGAACCTTTTTGATATTCCTGGCTAGGATAGTAGATGCTAGAGCTTCCGATTCCGCAGTCTTGATCCTGCCGTCGTCGGCAAGCGTAGGAGCAGAGCTATGACCAGAAGTCCATGATGTTGCGGATGACCCAGGACTAGGCGTTGATATGGGCGATACAGATGAGTCCATGGTGCGGCTTAAGGTGAAAGTAATAAATGAACCAAGTTAACGGCTTATGAGGTAAGAATTGGGTAGGAAATGTTTTATAAAGGACAAATTCATAGTTAACACAACGAAGGTCTAGCTTGATTGGAGGGTCTTGCACGCCGCACTTTCCAATCAGCTCTCTGCAATATCGTTGCCCATCAGCAAATCAAGATTGTTGCTCTCGGAGTACAGCGTCTCGTACAGTACAGTACTGTACTTCTCTCCTTACGATAGAGTTTGTTCGACTCAGTCCATCCGCTCATTGCGCAAATTATGGGTGAGAAGGTAAAGCCACTGGATGGTCACGAGGATGACATGCAAGCCATTTTGCGCAGCCAATCAACCACTACCGTATCGTCTTCACAGTGATCATCCAAGCAAAAACAGCATCTGCAAGCACAGGAGACTTTGCTCTGTCGAATATGTGTTGATGAATGTGTACTGCAACTGTGAGGAAGGCGTTAGAATCCGGGAAGATGATTTGTAGCTCACCGAGATGGGTCCGCTTTGATGGTAAATAACGAATTAGAGGACCAAGCCACCAAGGACTTTGGAAGTATGGAGTATGGAAAGGAAGAGTTCACCCATTTCCTGTCTTTCTCCGATGGCCAATCAATAATGGACTCTGGGGCTGTTAGCTCAGAAGATCCAGGAGATCCTCCAGTGGCAGCTGATAAGGAACTAGATTGACCGACAAAAGTGCCATAATAGCGCAGAAGCTCGATTTTCTTTAGCTCAGAGTCTGGGATATTCCATGGGACCCAGCAATGCCGGAACACGAATTTACAAGCGCTACTGTAATCTTGAATCTCACAGTATCACGGCCGTAGCGTGTTGAGTTTCTGGTGGTTTCTGCATTAAGAAAGTGCTTGCCTGCAGACAAGCTGTGGCAGACCCTCCCTGCTACCATCAGAGATAATTCTTCCCGGGAATGGCATCTGGCAGCAGTGAGAAACAGTATGGACACTGACAGCGTGAGACTCCCTCCAACCGCCAAGCACCTGACTCTAGTTGACTCTTTATAGTCGAAGACATCTGAGGACGGTTTGGCGATCTCCAATCAAACGCTGCCAGGCTCGGACGTTTCGGAAAGGCTCGACACGATTATCGCAAAGTTAAATCGCCTGGATGCAAACCACATGAAGCAACACTGCAAGATGCAAGACTTGATAACCCAGATCGAAGCTTTGAAATTAGGAGAGAGTGGAATCCAGGGACCTATAGAGTATTGGAAAGATCAGTACAACAAAGCACAGGAGCAGATAACGAAACTCGAGGATCGATACAATGAAATGATCAAAAGACACTTCCTCATGAGTGTTGACCTCGGCAATAAAGAGGGCATTATTCAAGGCTTGAAAAAAGACATCATTGACAGAAGTCAGGTTGCCCACCCTCGCGAGCATCATTCTCAGGAACTATACCAAGTTGTCGTCGGCAAGGAAGGCCGTGTCATTGATGAGCAAGAGTGGTTGGAACTATCCAGTGGAGTGGACACAGCGGGCAATAGCGAACAATGATATGCTCTTTCCTCACTTTCACACGTTGAAATTCCTCTTCTCTCTGTTGCAAATGTGTGGCTCTTGTCCTCACGATTGGTTGAGCAGTTTGGGAAAACAGGCCTGCTGACTGATCAAATTTCATGTTTGTACGATTGCTCCATACATTGTATGTCACTGCCATCAAGAATATACAAATTAACGTACCTTGCCGCCGCCTGCACAACAAAGCCAGATTTGAACCAGAAAATATTGCTTTCAATTGCCTGCAAATATCCGCAATAGGATGAGACCGTCTCGTCCTGAGACATCGACTTGCTTTCGAGATCAATCCACTCAGAGATATTCTTCGGCTCTTGTTTGAAAAACTGTGATTGGTTCACACAGCTTCCCCTCCGATCGAATAGCTTTTGATCGGAGCACTGTATTTCACTTTATATTTGAGAATTAACATATAATGGCGACAAAACACTAAAAGTAGAAGCACCAGCAGCCAGACACTTACATAGCTCGGAACATATGAACACACCACCGTCTTCGCCTCCCCAAACCTCAAGCGATTCACAAATCTAAAATCAAGCAGCTCACCGCCGACCACTACATCGCCCAGTTCCGAGATGTCTGCGCAGTATGAACAGACTGATGTGAGATTCGTCAGCGGGAAATAAGACAATCTTGTGCTGATCTAATCGTCTAGTATACCACAATCCAGGAAGAGCCTGGTATCTCTTGTCCCCTAGGAGAGGGAAAGCCTGCCCTCGTCGACTCAGTCGAAGATTCTATTTTGACTATTCAGGATTGCCTCAGACAGATCTCGAATATGGCGCATCAGGCATTCTGCGCTACTGCCGATCATACGTGCGTGCCTGCCAGCTACGTACGGGCGTGGAAGGATGTCTATCATAAAGAGGCGCAGAAGCTTCGGGAGGAGATTGGAAAGAACAAAAAGCTTCAGGCTCTTTATGAGCAGGCCCTTGCAGAGACTGATCACCGCAAGCGCGACTCGGCATTCTTTTACTGCCGCATGCAAGAGCTGGAGGAGCAGGTGAGCGAATATGCAATCCGGATCGAAGAGCTGGAGGCGGGAGAGCAGCAGGTGAAGACGACACAAGATCGACAGCTTTCGGACATGACGGAATTATCTGGTGACCAAATTCGCGAAGAGGGTGAGATCGTCGACATAAGATCTCAGAATGGGTCGGTGCTTTCCAATAATAACCTTCCAGTGAGCGATGTTGGGAAATGCGATACACGCAAGCGCAAGGCGTCGAACGGCGGAGAGGAAGATGAAAATGCGAAGGAAACAGGAAGTATGGAGAAAATACCTCGCAAGAAGAGGCGCACCAACCCAGGCAGAACTGGCAATGAGTAACGCAATCATTTGACACTCCCTCGGTTCCTGCGTCGGATGGCTCTCGTTGGTAGTGGGTGATGTTGTTGACGTAATGGGCCCGTGTGGGATGTTCTTTGGTCGAACGTCGTAATTCGACTTAACGAACCGAAGGCCTGCAGTATACATAGAGAATTTCTACATCAACACAGACGTGAGAGTCATAAAATTCAACGTCGCAAGAACATATTGCAATCATCAGCCTCGTTTATCAATGTTGTCTCGATCTCGCTCTACGCATATGCCTTGACTGCCATTTTTTGTCCACTATCACGTCTAACACTTGCATGAATGTAATGCCGAATCTTTTCAAAATTCTCTTGTTGTCTCCAAAAATAGCCCAGTCTTACGATCACAACATTCCTAATTCAGGCATGACTGATGGGGCCCTCGCCGCGTCCTTTTCGTGCGTGGTAACTTTTTAATCAGCTATTAACTCATATCAATAAATTCGGACAACAACCTCTACAAGACCTGCCCACTGAGTTGAAGGAAAGCATGAGAGTGCGGAAAGTCACTTCCGTCATTCTGCTATCACGGTGGAATATTCAGATGACTAGCACTTGAACAGCTGGAAGCACCCCAAGGTCTGCTATGAAGAAATGCACGTTGCATGATAGCTCGTCCTAGCCAGTGTATTCCGTTGGGTTATGCCGTTCTTAGTAATATCAATTGACGGTTCAGCATGATAAGTATGAGAATGAAAGACTACTTCTGACCCAACTTCGGTAGGAAAGGACAGTCTTGATTTTTGACCCCGATACCAAGTCCAAACTACTAAATCTGCGAGTCAAATTGAGTTTCGATACCGTAGAGAGTGGCAGATCGACGGCAGGAGTAAAATCGGCGAAAATTCGACCAGAACGTCAGGGATGACGCCTTGCACTCTGCTGCATGCCAAGCGCCAATGGGCCCTGGCGCGGCGTGCTGGCATCTCGAGGCGGCGTTGAAGTGAAGGACCGTTGACAGCGAACATGGAGAAGTTCACGGCTTTGCGTAGTCGAGACACTTGCAGACGAAACCTTACGCGCCTGTAGGACGGAAGTCGGTGTTCGCTTATTCGAATGTCATATGACGGCGATGCCATGTAACGAATATCTTTCAATCACTTGACTTCATCGTCAGGGAATCTTTTCGTACTTTAGCAGGGCTGTTTCGGTCATCAAAGACCAGGCAGGCAACCAGCCAGTGCAGCGAAATCTTTGTCGAACTCAACCCTGTTTGGTGTTTGGTGTTTGGTCAGTTTACGGGAAAGGGGCACTGCATAGTTATCAGCAGGGCATGGGACATTCGACCATGGACGTCAACTCTCAACGGCTGAGCTAACAGTTCAAAACACAACGTCTCTGGCCAACCATGTTGTAGGCCACATATTGCTAGAGATCTACAATGTCAAATAAGTGTGGTGTAGGCGGCGAGTGTCGAGATACCGTACATGACAAATCATTATTTGGGCCCAGTCACAACCTCCTAATTCCAATGATCTATGCTCATATCTCCATTGTACCCTAGGACCAAATGCCCAATAAGGTATTAAGAATGCACTCACTACAATGAATGGCTAAAGTGCGATGCTGCTCGCTGTGCGGCCATATCTCCATAGGCTGCTCTTTGTCTTGTAGATTGTCTTTGAAAGTGTGAGCACAACCGCACCTGCGAGAAAAGAGGCGAGTTGAGCGGAAGGTGAAGTTCGACAAAAGTCCTGACATTCGATCATAACATCCTCCTAAATTGCTCTGAACTGTTCCGCATGTCGCAGTATACTATCCGCAATCTCCTAGAAACATATGCAGCCGACGAACCCGGAAAGAAAACAAGACAGAAGCATTCCGCACACAAGTTAGTTCATCCTCTATATCCTCCAATCACGGACATTGGGACCGATGCCTTTGAGGTCTCAACTCTCAACAAGTGAGAGAATATACCTTTTCTGCTTTTCTGAGAGCGAGGCGTGCGAGTGGTGTGGATACTTGACGCTGCTGCTTGATCCCGGAGGAATTTATGCGACAGGTGAAACAGGCTGCATTCATAGGCCCACACCGGACAGCTCTTGCTCTTCCTCGGTAGGCGCGAAGGGAGAGGTCTACCATGATCATCCATAGAGACACTCCTCCGTGGCAAGCTCCTCATGTATTCCTCCTGGTGCTACAGGACGGGCGGCCCACGTCGCTTTGCGAAGTCAATTCACCGATTTTGGTGTGTCATGCTGCAAAAGCAGCAAATTGATGCTCTGCGACATCGCCAATTTCCCACCTAGTCGATTACCGTTGACTGGGGCATCCAGTTCCGCTCGAATAACTGTCTGATGAAGTAGTAGTCATTGCCGTAATCCTGGGCCTCATGCAATTCGTCCCACTCATCCTCTGTTCGCGGTAAGCGGTCAGCACCTTGACTTCATCACTCAAAATATATGCAACTGCCATTCCCCATCTACCCGTGTGCACGCGTGGATTTTTGAAACTCACTGTGCTCCCTGGCGTAATCCCTGGTGTATTTCACAAAATTGATCGACTCGTCGTCCAGCTCAGCCAGAATTTGCAGTTCGGAATCCTTGCATTCTGTGGAGAAGGGGTATACGCCTTTGTTGCAATAGTGATAGTAGGCTAAAAAGATGTTCGCGCCTAGAATATTCGCGTCAACCATCAGCAAAGGCAATGTGTTGTTTACCACCGGTCGGAAGGACAGGAACCAGACTCACCAAGGTGGTATTGCTCGACCATATGCTTCCTGGCAAAGTTGCTCTGTGCGCACCTGTGGTTAGTTTTGATATCCAGGCATAAATGTGTGTCCACGACGAGTACTTACTCTCAGGCCATGCTTCTTGGCATAGCTGTGGTCGTGAGCCGTGATGAGGGCCACGTTGTGAAGGAGCATGGCCGTGACCAGGTATGTCGTCAGCCAAGTCTTCTGCTTCTTCGCCTGCATCATACTCTGTAACAACTCCAAAGTTTCTCTGCGAAGCTTAGGTAGCGTCTGGTTGAGGAGGATGAAATCGAGCTGCGCCCCCATGACCGGTGGGATGAGTATCTTTCCTTTAAGGGGTCGGATGCCGAGTGTCTCTTTCCCGCAGATCTGGAACGACCTCGTTGTCAAGCGGACGGCTGCCCAAAGGTCGAGAGTTTTGGAGATCAGCTTTTTCTCTTCCTCCGGGGTACCCAGTCTTTTAAGTCGCCGGATGGCGTGGTCGTATGTCCGCCAGAGCAGCTTCTCCTTTGGCCCAAGCAGCGCGTGCAACATTGCACTGAGTCCTGACTTTAGATACCTTTCGAGCTGTGTCCTCGCCCGTTCAAGATCAACTAGAGCGAAGGGCTCGATGTACCAGCGCTGCTCCTTGCCGTTTTCGAACCATGTCCGGTGCAACCTATCGCCACTTTGCTGAGTGAATCGACGAACTAGCAACGGAACGCCGTCCGCGTATCCCTCTGTCATAGTGATAACTTTCACGACGGGAGAGTCCCACTGGTAGATTTCAGGCGTCATAGTCTTGTCTTTCCACCGACTCGTCCACTCCAGCCCTTTGACTTGTCCAGGCTTGAAGAGCTTGACTTCGGTTATCTTCCACCGTTTGCACGGCAGCCGGTGGATTTTAGAGTTGGCGCCAACTTTTCGACAACCATCGCACGGGGAATCATGGTCGTTTGGGGCGTCGGTGTTGGCTTCACACTGTCTCCAGTCTTAGAACAGGCCGATATACTCACCTCGTCTTCTTGCGCAATATCACTTACCCTGATGCGTTGCATTCGACAACGTATACAGCTGCCAATTTTCCTCACCTGCGCAGTTTCTTTCCGCTTTTCTTGGTTCCGAAAAGGTCCCCGCCTGGTAGTAGGAGGCTTCCAATCTGGCATGACTACATCCCGTCCGTTGACTTGTTGGGCCAGCTGAAAGCACTGCACCTTTTCAGCGTTGAAACCGTCCGTGGACGTAAATTGTTGTACAAAGATATATTGCAGCGGCGCGGCCTGGTGGCTTACCACGCTCGAAAGAGCGTGCTTTCGTTCTTGCCCAGCAACGGCCGAATGCGTGCAAGGCGTCTCGGCTCCTGTACGGGGTGGCGTGTTCCTCTGGAGCCCAGGCACTGGAGTTCTATATTCTACGCCTTCTGGGTTGAGGCATGTTGGGATTAATTTTGGTCTGAGCAATCTATGGTTTTGCTTCTGGCCCATGTTGGCCATGATGTCCGGACTGGTGGCAGGCTGATAGCTTCTCAAGTGACTTGGTGGCTGAAGAGGAGGATAGGCCTCCAGGAAGACAGAGTGAGTGGGCTCTCCGGTTTCAACCGTCAACGGACTGAGAGGGTCGTGACTTGAAGTGCAAGGATTTTCAAGGCTTTGGCTGTGCACCGGGGACAACAAATCCGCTGAGCTCGTTCGTGGTACTACAGCATCATATGAGGTTGTCGAAGAAATATCGTAATATCCTACGAACTGTTCATCAGTCTTTGAGGATTGACGCTGGGACATGAGTCTCACCTGATATTGCCGCATCGAAGCTTGAAAATGGTGGGCGTATGTATGTTTCGAGATTTCTGAGAGGGGAAGTAGGCAAACCTTCGGAAGAGGGTTGACTGTCACCCTGGCTGTCAAGTTTGCCGGAGTTTGGCGACTCCTCGCCGTTCGTCCGGCTAGGAAGACCCCTAGAGAACAAACGGGATGTCGGCGTAATCGTTGAGTCAATACGCTGCCTTTTGTGCGGGTGATTCTCATGATCTGTATCAGAGTATTGGTCATTTGAATCCTGGGAAGCACGGGGAATATCATGTCCTTGAAAGGTATCTTGCTGAGTGAAACCTAGCGGACCTTCATTGTCGGCAGCAAGAAAGCCTAAGTCATGAAAAGCTGAATCTGGGCTTTCTGGAACATAGGACTGGTGTTGGAAGAGATATGTGACTGATTCTTCGGACGAAGGAACAAAGTACGGATCTTGTAGAACTTCGTCTGATGGATTCAGGTAGCCGCGAACCCGGCGTTGCATGATGTGCTCGCTCTATGTAATATTGATCAGCTGCACAATCAGCTCTTGAGAAATAAGACCCAGAATGAAAAGAGGGGGAGGATGACTATTTTGTGATGGAAAGGTCGCACAACCAGCAGATGTGCTAGCATATGGCTCGGGACGACAAACAGGTTGTAAAGGATGTAAGAGACGTCGTGAAGGACGGTGAGGAACGAACACCACGCCGCTCATCGGAAACTGTGGATCATAGAACTCACATACGTACCATGGCTGCTGCAGAGATGGTATTGGAAAATGACCCACACGTAGTAAGTGTATGAATATCTTGATCAAAATTACCAAATTAACGAAGCAGGAACCTCGGCCAAGTGGGCGAGCCAAGTGGCAATGCTAATTACTCGAGGTTTCGAGGGTAACTTCTGAGCTAGACGTTGCAAATACGGGGGCATACCAACACAAAATCGACAAAGACATAGACAAGGAAGGAAGGAAGAAAACGCCTGGTTTGAGTCACCGGAGTGCAGATTAGGTGCAATTATTCCTTGAAAGGAGACCATCACCAGATTAGCAAAACACCTGTCTCAATGCATCAGCAAGGAAGCTGATAGCGAGGTAGTACCTGGGTCAAGATGTAGAAGTGAGGAGGTGGGGACATGTCAGGCAGACCCAAATGATGCTGGGTCCGGAAACCCCAGAATTAAACCTGCGACCTTGCGCGGATGCAGGATCGTATTAGTCTTGTATGAATGCCTGCAGATGACCTGACTGCTTGGCGTTCGAAAGAAGCCCTTCTGCCTTCCTTCTACACGTGCAACTGTCATCCGACTGACGCCATATTCATACCTGAGATTTTCAGGGAACTAACATCAAGCGGCAGCCATGCTCAATCAATGCAAAAGAACGTTGAGTAAGTCTCAATGAAGCCCAAGATCTGCCAACAACGAAAACCTTCCGAGCAAGGGTGAGTGCGCGTCGTACCGGTGGACGACATGTCCGGTATCGTTTGAACAAGACATCGGGCTGCTGCAGGCCTTGATAGCGAAGATTAAAGGTAGGGGAAACTTGAGCGCAACCCAGCTAATCTTAGGTCATGTCGCTATTGGTCAATCTGCTGTCGCCTGTCGAGGTGAAAGTAGAAAGGCTGGAAACATTGTGCATGGGTGGGCTACTTCAAGTTGCCCCGCGGCGGATAGCAACCGTGGCCTTGGGCGATACGATCTGCTACACAAAATGTAACTCTGTCTGGGGCACGGAAACCCGAACTTGCTCGGAGAATCACCACGTTACAGACCAAGGGGAAACGATCAAATCAGAGAGCGCCAGGTATAGTAGGCAGATTAACACCGTTGATGGCAATGCAGTATGTTTCGCAAGCATCACAAAATGTGCAATGTGGACTACCCTCCTCAAACTCGCTCTCGATAGCGCACGGGGCAAGTTGTGATGTGGTTGAGGTCGCCTGCAGGCATTAGTGCGGACCAATGCAATCAAATCAAGCCTGCTCAATCATGCGCCTATTCCTACGAGTATCCGCGCTAATGCAAGGTTCGAATCTGTAGTTTCCGCAGCCGCATGGACGTGCGTTCGATAATCTAATTCCAACGGCTCGCACGATCCTACCCATCTCAAATTTTACGAAGCTGACACTAATTCGATGGCCGGTCTGCAAAAAGCAGATGCACTGAATTGCCAGATTTGTCTATATGGGCGGCTCCATTGGTTAGTGCTCACGCCTCGGCGATTCACTTGCAGGGTTGCAAATTTCCCACGATAGCTAAGGAAAGAGCTTCCATCACAATCATTTAGCATTGCAAGGTTGACAGCAGCAATTTGATGTCGTTGCCAGCGGCTGCGTCGGCGTGCATCCTTAGGCAAGGGGTCGTGCAGGAAAGATTTAGTGTGCGCTCTTCAGACGGGGTCGTGCAAAAACCCCGACATTTAGTGCGCATTCTTCAAACACGAAGAGGGATATCAAGACAGAAAAAAGAATGCAAACGCTGTGTAGAGTAGTACAGGAGATTTATGAGTGCTTCGTCTGCACTGTGGGATGCGACGACTTACCGAAAATGCCTCGCAATTTCAACCCTGGCTCAGGAAGGCGACAGTTCTGTGAAGTTTAGTGCAACAGCTTCTTGCTACGACGACCAGAATGTGGAAGAGGAGGACCTTTGCGTAACCACAGTGCTTCCACCGCGGAACTCGTCCAGTAAGTCATAACAATTAGTAAATGGAATTTATGCGTGCCTGGTCGTGTGCGTCAATTCCACTCTTGTTCCGCGACCGTCCGCTTGTCTCGTGATGTTCTATTGACTTGGCTCCCGATTATGAGCATGTTCGTATGCACCAGACACTGACCTAATGTGTCGCTGCCTGACTTGTTAAGGCTGCCACTGCATGGTCGAAACTGATCAAGCGCCATTCTTGCGGGCAGAAAGAATGCAGAAGGGACTACATTCAAGAGACCCACCAGGCTCTGCGACTGTCCAGCAAACAGGGGGATGTTGGCGCGAAACTAATGCAACACATGCTTTCCCCGACGGTTGCACTAATGCGAGGTTCAATTCTGGGGTTTCGACACGTACCATTGAATCAGGATGATCCCCTGTCATCTCGAATCTGTGCTCTTTATTTCTTTGCCATGGCATTAGGTTGCCGGGTGGCCTGCGCTGTTCTTGAAAGCTGCTTGGATCTTGACCGATCACACTGCACGGGGCGACGGTTGCTGGTCCGATTAGTGAATTCACGCAGCCAACGCAGAGCAGACCACATTCATACGTGTTCATCGCTGGTGCAGGACTGGTGCAGGACAAAGACCTGCGGACATACGCGCCAATGCAATATCATATTTCCAGGGCTTTGGCATGATGTGCCTACTAATTCCAAGATCTCATCGGCACACACGGAGATTCTCCTCTAGGGAAAGTCAGTGACCCTGCACATGATCAAACTTGTGAAGGGCCAACGCCAGATGAGTACCGCTGTTGATCGGGCTCGCGCGGGCTCTGTCCAATAAAAGAATTCTCATTTTCGCCTGTCAACTACGATCCTAGAACCTTGTTACTGTGAGTGTTTTGAGGGGCATAAGGGGGCCGGGCGGAAGCCAGAGCATGGGTTGCAGATTCCAGGCGCTTTGATGAACCCCTGAGACCGACAGCCCTCCTGCCTGTTAAACAACGACCAACCAATCTTGCGTATAGAGTATGTCGGGGCATGTTGCTGTGAACACAATGTGTTAAGTCGCACATCCCATCGCTCTACCCGCCGCCCAACCATGTGCGGTCGGTAAAATAAGCAGTTTCAAACGCCTTCCCGAACATCACTTCCGTCCGATCCTATGTAGTCTGGAAGTACACATTGACTGCCTGATCCTGTTTCGAGTGAAGATGGCATATATGAGTCACTTCCTGGAATAAAGAACTGGGCTCTTGTGAAGCACGATTTCTACACTTAGATGAAAGCGGTTATCAACTCATGCAGCATCACGCTTTTTGACCTACCCCTCCGGCGAGATCATGGCAGAACATTGCTCCAATTCCCATGACAGACAATTGCCTCCAGCAAACGGTCATTCCTCAGCAGCACAGGATGCTCTGTTTCAGTGCGGCAACCCCTCTTGCATAGAAGAGCGGCCTTCAGGCCTGCTGGGGCTGTTCAAGCATTTTCAAGCAAAACACGCCTGTGCTGCTCCACAGAAACTTTGCCTGAAATTGGACTGTCTGTTTGTCCACGAAGATCAGAATTCACGTCATTGCCAATCTCACGAGTATTATCACACACGAGCAGAACGTGACGCTGAGGGCAGGCTTCTCGCTCGATGTGATACTTGCGAGACCTCGGAGACATCTCTTGAATCGCACAAAGAGCTTCAATGGCATAAGATGATGTTGTTCTTCAGGCAAATTCGTCCTGCGCCAACAATGTTGCCGTCCTGCCAGACATTACTGCCGCTTGACTTGCAGATGACTGAGCAAAGCCAGGATCAACCGCAGGCGAATAGCGAAACTCACCTCATGAGTGCACTTCAAACCTCTGTTGAGTACACACAGTCGTCTTATCTACGACGAGCCGGACCTGCATCATTGGCGCCGCCTTCTCCACAGCGGCTCAACAAAATACAATTCTCGCAGTGCGGACTGAGCAGCACAGAATGTTCCAAACAAGACAGGCCTTTCTATACCTTCCCCTTAGAGAGAAACAGGAAGCCTGAGCCAGATTCGCAGCCTTTGCTACAAGACGGACAAGCAGCACTTATGCCGAGCAGATCTGTTCAAGGTGCTGGAACTGCCCGGCACCAGCAATCTGGCACTATCTCTCGAAAGAGACCAGCGTCATCGGTTGCCCAAGGTAGAGCAAAGCTCTTTGAGCCATCGTTGGGGACATTTGGTGCCCCGATAGATCTGACTGATGATGCGTGATGAGGGACTCAAGGGAAATAGTTTTCAGAGAAAATAGGTGGAGTTGATTACCAATCATCCAATAATGAGAGTGAACGTTTCAATCTAATCAGTATTCAGACATTCGAACTGTCTACAGTATCAATGGATTATATTTTGTCTTTTTTTGCGATGCGAAGAGCAGTTGTGACAGGAAGAAAGTAACACACAGTGACGAACTCTTCCCTTAGAACCACAAGGAAATAGAGGCATAAAATTTGAGTGCTGGCGACGTCTTCGTAATCGACGACGACGAGGAGACCCGGGACAAGATTGTGGTCCGTGGGCCGTAGATAGTAAACGAAGGCACAGAAACACCATAAATTTGAGCAACCTGGTGCTCACAAGCGTGTAATTGGTGGACTGTACCCGTTTCCTGATACTTTCCCGGGGACAGCTGGGAGCCTGCGAGACGATGCCAGCCTTACCTACCAATCGAACGACCTCCCCAAGCCTTCATCATTCGTCTTCGGTCATATCTTCCGCGCTGGGTTTCGAGCACTGCCTGGCAAATGCCTGGATCGGACATAAAGGTATTCAATGCAGCTGTCAGTCTCAAGCAAAGGTGGCACCCCCCTGTCTGCTGACACGTTCTGGTTGACATCCGGCTTCTGGGGCGGCTCAGTTGACACTGGGCCATTTTCTGACCTGCAGCCAACACTGGGGCCTGTATATTGCTGAAATGTGCACAGACCACTTGTGAACCGCGGGTCACAAGTGGTCTGTGCTCTCTCTGGCAGGGGCATGTGCCCTCCTCGAAAGTGACACACCCCTGACCTGGTCGTGCTTGAAATCGTGCCATTTCGTC